AAATAAACTATTCGTATCGATATGCCGGAAAAAATAAAACTAAACATTTTGTTGGCATTAAATAACGAATTTAGATTTATATGACGTAAAACAAAATAGAATCAAACATCTTGCCTGCATTAAATAACACATTGAGACTTATATGCCGGAAAATAAACTATACCTAAAAAATCATGTCGGCATTAAATAACTCACTAATACTGATGTGCCGTAGAAGAAATTATTCCTGAACATCTTGTCGGCATTAAATAAACCATTGATGTTGGTATACCGTAAAACTCACGCAGACCGGTGTGGCAAAAGACCGAGTTTAATGTGGGGTTCCCGAGTCTGTAGGCTCAGCCAAAAATTCCCCATAGACCCCGTGTAAAATGTGGTTGGGTAGGTATTTCCAGAGACGAGATTCTGGCCTTCGGCATAGCCCCGTTTGGGGATCCTCTCTGCCCCGAGGCAGAGAGTTTAACCAGCCCAGCTGAAGAAGAATCTTCAAATGCGGGCCGGCAGGCCAAGATATACAGTATTTGTATCGGACCTCCTGGAGGGGACGCGATATGAAACCACGCCCCGAGCGTCCCAGTATCGTAACTGATGAAGGTCACATGAGGCCCGCTAACGTTTTTCGTATTAAAGACGTGAAATCTGACAAGGTGAAACGAACGAGGATAAATACGATTAATGCTAAGTTTATTTTATGAAGAAGTGCCGATGAGGTATATTGTTCTGTCAAATGTGGTAATGGTGGTCGGACTGGTCGTGTCGATGGTTGGATTGGTCGTGTCGATGGTTGGATTGGTCGTGTCGAGGGTTGGAGTCGAGGTGCAGACGTTCCGGTCGTGTCGACGGTTGGAAACAGATTGTGGACGTTCCTGTCGTGCCCACGTTTGGACGTTGAGGTCGACGACGGGATGCTGAGATGCGTTCGTTCCGGTCGTGTCGACGGTTGGACGTTGCAGTGCAGGCATTGCTGATCGAGGTCGTTGTCGAAACCTCCCGTAGTAATTAAAACCGACAGTATACGGGAAAGGTTGATCGTTGCAGATGATCGTTGCAGGTCGTCGCATGTGATCGTTGGTCGCTACATGTGATCGCTGCTGGTCGTTGCAAGTGATCGCTGCTGGTCGTTGCAGGTGATCGCTGCTGGTCGTTGCAGGTGATTGCTGCTGGTTGCTGGTCGGGTTTCGGACTGGACGTGTCGGGAATGAAATGGGAGCTGGTCGAGTCCGATATCGAAACCTCACGTAATAATTATACTATACTGTACGGGAATGGGTACGAACGACGTGCGAGCAACCAGTAGGGACAGGACACCGAAACTCGAACATGGGCAAAGAGCCAGAAGTAAAAAAAAAGCGAAGTAAATAGAGAAAGTGAGGAAGATCCAACTCGCGTCCAGTTGGCAGACCAAATAAAAATTTGAGCGTAACTTAATACGCAGCCTGGGTCGGCGTCCTACCCACAAAGGCCAGGAGCCTGCGTACCGACCTTTCGGTGCCGAACGTGAATTCGGCGAGGAATCACCGTATTATGTTAAGGAAAACCGACAACAGACACGGTCTCACAAAAATACAAAAAAAAAAAAAAAAAAAAAACACTGAAAAAATGAGTTGAGATTCTCTACAAAAAAACAAACGTCTAAAAGTGCTAATGTGTATTACGACTACTTCCGTAGCGCCAACGGAACTAAAAAATAATTAACTCAATTGTAAAACTAAATTACCAGCATGTAGGGAACACGACCAAAGCTCAAGGTCGAGAAGTCCTTTTCTCTTCCGTTTTAGGGAGTGGCCAAAAGCGGCCGTGACATATTCACTAGTGTATTTATCGGAATGAGGGAAAACCCATTATCGTCCGTAGGTATGCTACAACAAAATCTGAAACGTGATTAAATATATCTTACGGGAATTCTCCGAAGTTTTTATAACGATATTGAACTCTACTTTCAGCAGTAATCATTAATTAATTATAGATAATGAACAGAAGGTCATGAATGATTGATATAAACTTCAAATATATATATATATATATATATATATATATATATACAGTATATATCCCACATATCCGGAATCCTTCATAACTGGAGTGAACTATTTGGCTAATTTGTAACTGATTTGAAAATGTATGTTTTTCAGGAAATTTTCTTTATGAAATTGCTTTGTATTGGTGCAAAAACTGGTAGGTTTAAGTGGAAAAGAACAACTTTGGATGTATCACAAATATTAGAAATTATAAACATACTAGACGCAGGTTCATTGTATCAAATGGCTGAGTTCAACACAGGAATATCAAAATATAAAATATAAAATCTTCCAAAGTAACTGTTCTCCAGGTTTCTTACTGTCACAATGAATAAGGAAACAGAAAACATGATTGTGATAAAACAAGGAATGAAATTGAAGATCTATTGAAAATATCAGTTTTAAGAAAAGATAGCCAGCATTCAGTTTTGACGATTTCACTAACGCGAGCAGAGTTTTAAAAAAATGTGTCTTTCATTGAAAAATCCAAGAAGAAAAACAAAACGAAATACAGAAAAAGTTGAGAATGACATTAGAAGAGAAAGAATCATCATGCAACAGCGATTAAAAAATCCTTGTTACATTGTTTTGCATATGTGGTATACTTAATTTAATGAAATTTCATGAACATTACATAATTTATTTTTTTCCTTAAAATTAATTCCGTTACATTTCACTCAATGTGAGCTTATTTTGTTTACTATAAAACATTGAAAATAAATGTTAAACATGATTTGAGTTCTTTTATTATATATATATATATATATATATATATTATTATTATTATTATTATTATACATAAATATAAACCCTCATATCTGGACTTTGTAACCAATTCCTTAAATCCTGAATGTCCGAGAAATTTCATAGAATATATCTGTCCCCCGATAGGAATCAAACCTGTTTCCTACACAGAACCGTCATAAAGCCTTATGTGCTATACCACTTAGCTACAGAGTAATTCAAGCTTGATAACAAGACGTTTCTTCTGTAGCTAAATCGTATGGCTCGTATAAACAAGTGTTGTGGTAGGATCCACCTAATTTGCATAGTGGAGTACCGACCATATAAATATGGTTGGTACCGGGAAGAGAAGGGGCAATTAAGAGATTCAAACAGAGACTCTGCCCGACTGCGACTCAGTCAACACATTCTCCAGGAACGGTCTTACCAGGAATATACAAAAGACTATATGTAAATATTGTGTACCCTTTCTTGTTTCAATACATTTTGTTCTAAGTACATTTTGTGTTGCATTATTATTCCATGCATTAGTCAAGTTTCAACAACAATATATATGTGTATGTGTATATATGTATGTATGTATGTATGTGTGAGTGAGCAGTGTTTTCTATAGAACAAACAAATGATGCAAGCAAGTTTTTTCATCATTGCTGGGAACAATAAAAAAATATTAACTTTGTCAATGAAACGTTATTATGTACAAAAGTTATTTTCTTTAATCTTTGTTGTTTAGTTTCCGTGTCAATAATTGTGCGTACTACTAAACTGGCTACTAGAGCTCATCGTCATACAGTTGAATTAGTTATATGTAACCCTAAGGTCTATTTAAAGATTTTCTTTACTCAAACGTCTCCCCGCTGGAAGTCTTTACCTGTTTCCTGCTTGAATGTCACTTACAATCTTCTAAAATCTAAATGCAATGTTAATGGACCTCATCTACCATTTTGTTCTTTTATTATCCTTTCTCCTAACTAAAGGCTTCTCATTCTCTTTTCACCCCCCAGGTACGAGATGCGTCTTAGTGATATTATCCATTTGCTTTTGATAAAATTATTAAAACAAAAGCAAATCAATAAGATATGGAGATGAACGCACAAGTACAGAAATAGATACAAAATTAATACAGGTTTCTATATTAAATCCATTGCTAATAACCTGGTAAGAAAGTTTATTCCCTGCGTCAAGCGATATAATTTTTATCTCCCAGAATCTATCTTATATATTTATGTCTACCATTAGTATCATTCTTAAAATTTTACTGTCACATACGGCACGTTGTCCTTGCTATTTAGCGTGGACTCCTTGATAAAAACCAAAAAAAGAATGAGCAATATTAATGGTCCAGATCTGGTGGCTCGGCTTTAGTCACTTTTAACTGAGATTTATATATTTCAGTACAATACTAGACTAGCGACAATATATCATCAATTTGCAGTTCAGCTGGCGAGATGTATCTGTAAGTTCTATGCTAAAAGTCACTTTTCCCGCACGTCTCGCTAGTGTAGCTCCCTTCCGGTTCCATGATTTCCAGCCAACATTAATCTGCAAAAATTTAAATGCAACGCTATTCTCGACCTACTGTGTCCCTGATTGCTCTTTCCTCTCCCCACTCACTATTAATGTTTCGATTCATAATTATTCCACGACCTGTAACCCCTTTTATTTTACTGGCTTTACTGACTTGCATGGGGTGATAGTGATTCGAAAAAGAAAAGTTAAGTTGACAGACAAATATTAAAAAATAGACGGAGAATTCAAAAATGAATATATATATATATATATATATATATATATATATATATATATATATATATATATATATATCAGTATATGATTGGTGTATACGGAATAAATTCCAATAACCAACAATTTCTATTCTTAAAAGAGTGCTCAGTACAGAGTACAGCGAATATAATTATTTATGTAAAAATTATAACATAAATTTGTTATAAAATCACTACAAAAATAGCCATTTTGTTTCAACACCTCTGGTGTCTTATCAATGATGTTGAATGTAGATTGTACATACAACATCTTCATGATAAGACACCAGAAGGTGTTGAAAAGAAAACGGCTATTTTTATAGTGATTTTATATCATATTTATGTTATAATTTTTATATATATATATATATATATATATATATATATATATATATATATACAGTGCGTTCTGCTTGATTATGCAACGTTACTTGGTGCTTCTTGCAGATTAAACTATACTTTCAGACGAGAGAATATGGTCAATGAAAAAAAGTCGTATAGTAACATAGTTCTTTTTCTCAAAGTATGTAAAAAGGCACAGTTTCAAGTGTTCGGTCTGATTAAGCAATCACCATATAAATCCTTAAAATGGGTAAGAAAAAGGGTCTTACTGAAAACGATCATGCTGAAATTACTCGCATGCTTGGAAGTGGTCTGTCAACGCTAGAAATTTCAAAAAAGTTACATATAGACCACCGTACAATCAAAGCATTCGTCTTAGGTAGTAAATCATGCAGAAAGACACCTAAGCGATCTCATTTACGAAAGTTAACTGCCAGAGATCTTCGTAAAATTAAATATGAAGTCTCAAAGAAACGGCATGAAACTAGTAAAACAATATTTGAAAGTGCTGGAGTGCCCAAAGTTGGTAAAACTACCCGTTGTGAGGTCCTCAACACCCTTGTCAAAGTGAAGAGTTCCATCAAGAGGCCCCCATTGAGCAAAGCAAACAAGATGAAAAGAGTTGAATGGGCACACAGTTACATGAAGACCAATTTTAGCAATGTGATTTTCACCGACGAGTACTGTGCGACACTTGATGGGCCTGATGGGTGGTCATCTGGATGGGTGTTAAATGGTCAACCGGCAGGAGTACGCATTCGTCGACAACAAGGTGGTGGAGGAGTGTTGTTTTCGGCTGGGATCCGCGGAAATGAACTAATAGACCCACACAATGTACCCAAAGGGCTTAAGCTAAATTCAAATGCATATTGTAGGCTTTTGGAAGATGCCTTTCTGCCCTGGCTTGATGAACAACCAATTCAGAAAAGAAGATCGTTGATATTTCAGCAGGATAATGCTCCAGCGCATAGATCAAGAAGCACCACCAATTGGCTATCAGACCATGGGTTCAAAGGGCAAAATTTAATGATATGGCCTCCAAACAGCCCTGATTTAAATCCAATAGAAAATTTGTGGTATATAGTCAAGAGAAGGATTTATGCTGAAAACAAGCAATTCACCAGTTTAGAAGCTCTGTGGAAAGCAAACCTTCTGAAATTGAAACATTGACGTCATCAGTGGACAGACGCCTCATAACAGCTTTGAAGAATGGATGATGTCATGTTTGTTCGTAGCCGCATTAACAGACTTGTTTTGTTTTGTTTAACATGATATACATGAGTATTATGTAATCTAAGACGGACAACACATGATATATTGTCATATGCGCCACAATTCAATTAATAAAATTTAGTATAAAATATGTTTTTCTTGTTTTATTTCCATTTGCATAATGAAAGTGAACACTAAATTAGGGCTTAAGTTCATAAATCATTAAAAAGAAGCACGTTTTGTATATTTAGACAACTTAAATAATTGACAAAATAATAAAAAGTATCAACACTTTAGCTCTTATTCTTCAGAATATATTGCTTAACTTGGATATGTTTAGGTAAAAAATAACTTTGCATAATCAAGCAGAACGCACTATATATATATATATATATATATATATATATATATATATATATATATATATTATTGAGAGAGAGAGAGCAGGAGCAGAGGTCGGAGGTAAAAAAAATAAATAAGTAAGTAAATATGCATAGAAAGAATAGAGAAAATTAGAAGCTGTATCAGTAACGTCCATCATTTTCAAAATTCTATGGCTGGAATTATTCATATTGCGTTTATTATTCATATAATTCTTGAAATTTATTGCTTGAAATGTCTTCAAGGAAAGTAATTTTGGTAAAATTGGTCGAATCTAAAGTCGAGCGATTAAATTCATTTCAAAGGGAATATTAGGTTAGCAAATGGCTCCCGAAGTATAAATCCGCAAGCCGTCGAAAAGTTAAATAGAAAATTACAAATAGGATCAACGCGAAGTTTACAACATATGAATTAACGGCAATAATTTATTCCGAATAATATTAAATATAGTCTGAAAGGACGTTACTTACATATTATACATAGATAAGTATACTAACATTTAACTAAATGATTAACTATCTACCACTCAACACAGATGATACAAACACAAGCGCAAACAGACGCGCACACACACACACACACACACACACACACACATATATATATATATATATATATATATATATATATATATATATATATATATATATATATATATATATATATGTATATATTGTCGCTTCGTAGATTTATGTTATATTCAGCATCTTCTTTGAAGAAATTCGCAAACGAATCATTTTGTAATTACCTAGTCCACTCTTCAGGAGATTTTCTCCAATACTACTCTTTCAATAATTTTCGTTATTTTTATACTAAGTTTGATTGAATTACTTTTAGTTGGGATGCTGTTATATATATAATACACACACACACACACACACACACACACACACACACACACACACACACACACATATATATATATATATATATATATATATATATATGTTTTTTGTAGCAATTCAATGGAAAGTGTCTGAGTGGAACTCCATTTTACTATATATATATATATATATATATATATATATATATATATATATATATATATATTGTTATGGTAATTTACCCACGCATGCATGGACTCTACCAGGTATAATTAGAAGCAGGTAATGCCTTTTTGGTGAGGAAGTTTCCAGCAGTTAGCTCTGACAGTCGGAGTGAACATTCTTGCTATAACGGCCTCGTTTGTATATGTTTGTGCTACTGTTTCTGTTAATATATTTGTTTAGCTCATTTCCTCTCTTGTGTCTTTATTTCTGGCCCTAAAAAGGCCACAACAGAAAGAAAGAAAGAAAGAAAGAAAGAAAGAAAGAAAGAAAGAATGCCCTATGGTAAATTACCCACGCATGCATGGACTCTCGCAGCTATAAATAGGAGCCGGTACTGTCTTTTGGAGAGAGAAGTTTCCAGCAGGTCAAAGAGGCATTTTGGTGTATGTAGTATGAAAGGTATGGATAAATGTGTTGTTTTGTGAAAGGAATATTGTTCAGTATGATAGGGTCAGTGGATGTGGCTAGCTAAGTGTTAATTTAAGACAAGTGATGACCGTCCTTTACCCCAACCCCCTTTTCGGCCTTGTGCCACATTTGTACTTAGTACAATAAATAATGAGCAGTTTCCAGCAGTCAGCTCTGACAATCGGACCGAACATTTTTGCTTTAAGACGCTTGTTTGTATATATTACTGTTTCAATTAATATATTTGTTTAACTCAATTTCTCTCTTCTGTTTTTATTTATGGCTCTACCAAGGCCGTCTTTTTAAATATACTGGGTCTCATGAAAGGAACGCTAAATTAAACGCATATTTAAAAGCTTAAATTTAATATAAATTTACATAAGACTAGAGGGACGCCGTATACGTTGTTATGCATTAATAGACGCTTAAATGTTTAAAGTGGGTAATCAATATTTAACCTAAAATATGAAATGACCATGTGATATTCTGATAAATGCTCTATCCAGAATAAAAATATATTAGAAGAGTTTTCCTCTGATTACAAACTATCATGAATTCATTCCGTTTCTTAAGTATGTTTCTGTCATTAATATTCTTGAGGATGGATTTTTTTTCCGGTAGCCACAAGTTGCATCCGTCGTCGCGACCGGAAAAGGGTGTAGATTTAACGACGAAATTCAAATTTACTACCGGTTTATTGTCACTTGTTTTAATATCCCAGTAATATTTTCAGAGTGCCGTGGCATTTGCATATTGGTTATTGGTAAGAGTCAATTTATGGTGTTAATATCGGGTTTTCTAGCGGTTGGCTGCGGAACCGAATTAAAACTTTTTCTCACCATTATGTTTAATGCTAGCTTTGTAGATGACGCCTTTATACATGCATTTATGATTTAGTGGACAGTTAATGTTTTTTCGGCAATTACACTCTTTTCAGTGTCAATATTATTATTGAGGTTATTTAAATATTTGTTTAATGCTGCATTAATATGATGTGCTATATATTTCTCAAGTTTTTTTTGGTGCAGCTGCAGCTAATATTAAAGTTGTTTTATTGAAAATTTTGTTGAGCAATGGGATATGGTTATGTTTGTGGATTAAATTTAGGAAAATTTTTACCGATGTTAGTTTTGCTAGTTACTTTTAAATGGTGGATTAAACAAAATTATGTTTCGTTTTCTTTTCTTATAATTATTGTTGGCATTCTTACTTATGTTTGAAATGCATTCTACTTTAACTTTGTGTTTACTTTTATTTAGTACATCTACATATTTAGTTTTATATTTGTCCAAAATAATTTTGCCGATAGAGTTAGTCGAGAGTCTATATTGCACCGATGTGTGTAAGTTATTTAAAATTCCTGGTGGCTGGTTCGATTCTTTGCTAATGTATTTATAGACATGTGTATTCATTTGGATAGATCGAAAGTAGTGTCCAGAAAAATGATCACCTTGTAGTGGTGAGATTTAGAGCATGATACTTGAAGAATTTTTCAAGTTTTTTTCTAATCGATCTGTTTGTTGTAGGTTGGTGTTACTAAAGAGATTAACTCCGTCGTCTGTATACAGACCAGTGTTCATGCTATAGAAAATGTACCTAAGTCGCCACATTAGCAGAATTCCAAACAATTCCCAAACTTCAGCGGAATCGAACATTCCCATCGCTATAGAGAAGAGTGTATTGCCTTTTTTTGGTCCTATAGAACCACCGTGATAGAGATTGGGTTCATGGGCTTGCTTAATGATGTTGATTTCCTGGCCGGTGATGATGCACTAATTCTTGGCCAGGGTTATAGATGCCATTAACAGGTCTTCTGTGATCGACGGGTAGAAGTTGGCAATGTCGAATTGCATTAAGGTGTATTGGATTTTATTTATTTAGACTAGAGAAACAATTGATAGCATATTTAGTATTCTTCTGTTATCTCGTTCTAGTATAGCATTCCTGATTTTGTCTATATTATTCTTGGAATGGTTAATCAATCGAATGCGTGGGTAGTTGTGAAAATTATCATTGCCGTCCGTAACAGTATTAAAAGTATATTGCTTATGTAGCTTATGCACGTTATCGCCTATCTTAAGTTTTCGGGTTGTAATTCGTGCCTCGCTGTTAATATATATATATATATATATATATATATATATATATATATATATATATATATATATATTTATTTAGTTCGATTGATGTGAGTTTCTGACCCAGGCTTTCACGCTATTTGCGATCGTTAGACAAACTGATTATTTTTTTAAATTTTGGATATATATATGTGGTTGCGTATAAGTGTGAGGGAAAATTGTCGTCCGTACGCCACTCATATTTACGCAAACATACATACACGCACGTACACACATTGACGTACGCAGACACACACATACGCACGCTAACTCACTGGAGCTCACAGAAACATAAACATATGTGAACAGTGTTGTACTGGGCATATGTGCGCATCCATGTGTCGTTGCGTACATACGTACACATTTGGTCTCTGTATTCAATGTTGGATTGTGTAGCGAATATTTTTGTATGTTTTGCCCTGTCAACGCGCAGACCGTTAATCTATTTTGTTCGTTGAATAAATTTTCTCGCACACACAAGTATATACGTATGATGGGTTTGTGTAAGACTGTGGTAAAAAATTGCTATTATCGAAAACATTTTGTTATTATTTTAAAGCAGGTTATTTGCTTGTATTTGGCGATTGCGCATATGTAAATGGTAGAGACTCCAATTTGTAATACTTATTAGTATTTATGCTGTGGCATTAAATTTGCTGGGGGAGGGAGAAGTAAGTATAATTGTGAACTGATACGGTAATTGTAATTGTGGTGCTGTAGTAAATGTGGACTAATGATGTACTAGTAATGGCGGGGAGGGGGGCGAAGTTGATAATAAAAATTGTTGCAGGAAGTTCTTATTGTAAAGTGGGAGAAGTAATCGTAGTAATGGTGGTGGAACGACAATAAAATATTTATAATTATTAGGATGGTAATTTGAACTAGAAAATAATTTATGGTGTTATTGTGTCAATGGTTTCTCTTATCATGTTCATAAGTTCAATGGTGTTTTATGTAGTAGTGTTGGTTAATGTGTTATTTTTTATTCAACTTGTTGAAGGCCAAGTAGATAGGATTTTTATTGCTATTTAAATTTTTTTTTTTATTTAAATGTCCATATACACTATGGACATTTAAATTATATCTAGTTTAATTTTATCTATCTATCTATCTATCTATATATCTAAATCGGTTTCCCTCTTTCTTTCTTCTTTATCTATCTTTCTAAGTTGGTTTTCTTCTTTCTTTCTTTTGTAACTATCTATCTATCTATCTATCTATCTATCTATCTATCTAAGTTGGTTTCCTTCTTTTTTATCTATCTATCTATCTATCTATCTATCAATCTAAGTTGGTTTCCTTCTTTTTTATCTATCTATCTATCTAAGTTGGTTTCCTTCTTTTTTATCTATCTATCTATCTAAGTTGGTTTCCTTCTTTTTTATCTATCTATCTATCTATCTATCTATCTATCTATCTAAGTTGGTTTCCTTCTTTTTTATCTATCTATCTATCTATCTATCTATCTATCTATCTAAGTTGGTTTCCTTCTTTTTTATCTATCTATCTATCTATCTATCTATATATCTATCTATCTATCTATCTATCTATCTAAGTTGGTTTCCTTCTTTTCTATCTATCTATCTATCTATCTATTTATTTATCTATCTAAGTCGGTTTCCTTCTTTCAATCTTTTTTTAACTATGTTAATCGGTGTCCATCTTGCTTTCATTTTTTTATCTATCTATTTTAATTGTTTTGCTTCTTTCATTCGTCTTTCTTTTTGTCTGTCTATCTCATGTCAGTATCTTTATATCTATCTGTCTATCTATCTATCTATCTATCTATCTATCTATCTATATATATATATATATATATATATATATATATATATAGAGAGAGAGAGAGAGAGACAGACAGACAGACAGTGAAACTTATTTTTCAATAATACAAAATAGAGATTAAAAATATCTGTTTCTATAGACACATGTCTTGTTGTTACTATGCATTAGACTGCATTTATCAAAATTACTCTTCATAAATTTAAGTACAATTACATTTTCTTCAATTATATATTTACAATGAGAGATCGTCACGTTTCAGACAGGTTTTCGTTGTCATTTGAATAAAGATCTGCACGTTTTGCTGAAAAAAAAAATGTTTTCGATGAACTCTTGAATCCGGTATTCATTGCATCATTATTCCCCACTATATCATTTTGCATCGATTGGAAAATAAACAATCGGTTGGTACAAGGTCAATGGATTTTGATTGGTTCAGCAGATCAGAACAATCGGTTCCAAATATTTTTCCCGGTGTAATTCTTACTGCAGGCGTCTTTCTGAGGTTATTGGTTAGAACAACATATTTTTTGCTGTTAAAGATAATCTGGAGCTTTTCGACACACATTTTATGGAATTTATGCAGGTACTGAGTGTACGTATAATTTAGCGTTTCATTGTGTTTTAAGAAATCTAGATTAATAATACCCCCACTAGTTGTTTACACGCACAGTATTGTATTTCTTCCATGGAGCTCAAGTTTTGAGTTTGGTGGAGTTTTATCCAAACACAGCCTTATGCGCGGGACTTTGTAGTTAGAATGATGCATAAAAAACGAAAATCATTTATGACTATATATATATATATATATATATATATATATTATTATTATTATTATTATCAATTGAAGAATATCAAACATTAAAAATCCCATAGATAATATTATTTCCTGAGAGCTCTCAATCTTCAAGACCTACAAATATATCACAGGTGAAATAAAAAAAAAACTTATTCCGTTTGAAAATCAAGAGATATTGCTATTTTATTTAGGGAGTTGGAAAATGCAGAGAGTGTTGATATATTTTGAAATACTGACCTCAGTATATCATTTGAGAATGGTGGAAAGGTTTGAGGATGCTGACGAGGTTAAACTGTAGTTAGTTCAGTGTGAACAATTCCGTCTGGTTCTGTATGTGGACTAATTTCAATGGTTGTATAATTCATTCAACAAATCATTTGTAAATATTGTTAAAAGATATCATTTATAAAGATTTTAAACAAGTTTTATATAATTTAAATTAAATTACGTAAGAAATTTGAATTAAATGAATACTATTACTCAGAGAAGCATATTTATAATGTTTGCATAACTAGAGTCTGGAACTTTTACTTAGAAGTATTTTACTTAGAGACATTTATTAATATTTAGGAAGGTATAAATGATGTTTAAAGTAAGGTAAAGTTAGATAGGAGTTAATCCTCTGTATGTCATTCAGAAGTTTCTGTAAATAATATTTAAAAAAGTGGCTGGTTCAAAACATTTTTAATAAGTTTTTTTTCGAAATTGTCGAAAGAAATTATGAAAAGTAGTAAAATTTAACTTAAAAACCTAAGAGATTCGAATTAAGTGATTATTAATTAAATTCAGAGAATAAATATTAATAATGGCTATATACTTAGAGAGATGAACATTTGTGTCCTACATGTATTTATTAAGAATTTTCAGGATATGAGTGAACTTTAACCGAAGATAAAGTTAGATCAGGGTTAATCGTCCATTGTATATTTATTAATTTTATGAGTTTAATTAAAAACGTATTCCAAATTCATTTAAAGTAGACCCGTTTGACCTGATTACCGCGTAACATCCAACATGGTCAGTATGTATGTATTTCTCTCTACATACAATATTCTCACAAATACACTAATAATTATCAAGAAACCCATAATATGACCATGCACAAACACAAACACGCGCATACAATTGTGTGTATATATATATATATATATATATATATATATATATATATATATATATATATATATTCACCACCTACAGACTTTTTCACCAGCAATTTCATATCAATTAGGCATACATATTACAATGAACTCACAGACACACAGACACACACACACACACACACACACACACATATATATATATATATATATATATATATATATATATATATATATATATATATATATATATTGTTATGGAACTTACCCATAATAACATAATGGACTATTCCATACGTAATAAATACTGCGCATCAAGAGTAAGCGGGAGTTCAGCTGATCGGCTGATCGGTTGAACTGTCTGCCTTCGTGTGGGGAGGAACCTGAACGAAGCTACGCCGAAAGGCGGAGTCTCTTTCGGGGAGGTAAAACAACCCTGAACTCGTTTATACGGGTTCAAAGGGCATATTTTTGGCCGAGCCCATGGGCTCGGAGAACCCACGTTAAACCGGCTTTGTGCCACATGATGCCCTTGTGGGGAGGGGGTGACTAAATGCTATTCCGTCTGAAGTTTAGAGTTCAGTCTGAAGTCTGGAGTGAAGTCTGTCAGTAGTCAGTTAGTCGAGTCAATCGAGTCAGAGGCAGTCCGAACAGAGTCCCGTTCAGACAATTACTACTAAACCTGATTGTTCGTACTAACACTTTCTACTTCTCTGTATATATTCCTGTTTGTAATATATCTGTGTTATTCCATATCCGTATTCGAGTTCTTCTTTGTTGGTTCTACCTTGGACTATCACCGTGGCACAAGGAACCGGGCCATAACTGTGGCGACAAGCGATTCAAATTCATTCGGTGAAAGAAAAAAAAAATTGTTCGCTATTTTTTGCTATACGTCACACATAACAAGTGGCGATCTGGAAAACCTTTAAAGAAAAATAAAATCCCTACTCGGATGACATTTTTTTTTTTGCTATCCGTCCTACGTATCAATGGACGACGATTAATTTCTAAAAAAAAAAAAAAAAAAAAACAACAACAAAGAAAAGTTTTTTTGCGAACACGGGATACAGAATATCAGGTTACACAAAAAAATTACGTTGAATGGAAAATTTTAAGTCAACCATTATGGAACTTATCAAAATCTAGTTTGAACAACAACAAAGTTACGAACAAAACATCTGGAAATGCAAGAATTATTGATACGTGGAATGGCAAATAGGGAGCAAAACCCCGAGAACGAATCAGTTCTCTCTCAAGACGCTATTTGGAGTAATATCGAAGATTTCAATTACGCATCCAACGAAGATAAAACTTTTACAATTTACTTCCGAAGGTATGAAGATCTATATGACTTTGACTGCAAAAATTGGTCAGACGCACGTAAAGTACGCCTTTTATTAAGAAAATTAGGCACAAGAAAATATACCAAATTCGTTGATTATATCCTTTCAGAAAAACAAGCGAGTGAACGTTCAAAGATTCTATGAAATTGCTAACGGAACTTTTCAACCATAATACTTCATTATTTCATAAAAGATGGAAATGCATGAACCTTACAAAAAAGGATAGCGAAGATTACGTAACTTTCGCATCCATTGTTAATAAATAAATTATCGGAAGTCAGCGCTGACAACTTCAAATGCTTAATTTACGTCCAAGGTCGGTTTCAACCAAAGTCGCAGAAATGAGACGTAGAATACTGACTAAATTGGAAAATGAATAAGATCTGCCACTTCAAAAACTAGCCGAAGACTGCCAGAGATGCGTCAGGGTAAAGAAAAAAGACTCCAAAGACATAGAACAAGCTGGCATCGCATACATACGCAAAGTACGAAGACAAAGAAATTTTCCCTCCTCACAAACAAACCAAACTGATTTTCCCGACTCAGGAACAGGTAAAACAAAATTTTCTAATTATAATCAACATAAAAAGAAACTACCACCAAGTCCATGCCATCGTTGTGGGTCTTGGCTTTGGGTTAAAGACTGTCATATCGTGCTAAATCCTGTCTATCATGTAAACAAATTGGTCTCAAAAGTTCTTACTGTTGGTATAAAAAAAGAAAGCAGAATAAGAATTACGAGGACCGACCAAACACATGAGACTAATATAAGAAACTATATACAAGTTGAAATGCAAATCAGAAAAGTTAGGTTACAGCTGGATTCTGGCTCAGACTTAACTATCATAAATCTACAAACATGGAGAAAACTGAACAAACCTGTCATGTTAAAAACGGATAAAATTGCGAGATCAGTTACGGGGAGAAAGATAAAATTCGAGGGTGAAATAATCACAAACATAACATTTAACGGAATGACGAAAAAACTAAAAATGTGCATCTTAAGAAATACCGAAAACCTATTCGGAACAGACAGGATGCAAAAATTCGAATTGTGGGATTTACCTATTAGTATGTACTGCCAGAATGTAAAAACTTATCAACCGAGGTAGACAAATTAAAAGGAAAACTAAAAACGAGTTTCCCCGAAGTATTTTCGGCAGATCTCGCAAGATGCAAAAAAAAAAACAGATAATACCAAAATAAAGGATAACATTCAACCTATTTTCAAGAAAAAAAGGAGTGCACCGTTTGCGTCAATAGAAAAGATTGACCAAAAATTATCTAGACTCGAAAATACGGGCATATTGAAAAAAGTAGAATACAGCAAATGGGCCGCACCGACGGTCTACGTTAAAAAATGAAATCAGGAGAAATTCGAGTTTGTGCTGATTTTTCTACAGGTTTGAACGCAGCAATAAAGGACTACCACTATCCGCTACCTAGTCCTGAAGAAGTAGTCACTAAATTAAATGTCGTAAAATATTTTTCAAAAATTGATCTAAGTTACGTCTACCTGCAAATTACAGTCGATGAAGAAAGTTCAAAACTACTATGCATAAACACACCCAAGGGATTGTACAGATACCAAAGACTACCATTTGAAATTAAAGTCTCGCCGGCTATTTTCCAGCAGACAATGGATACGATGCTGGCAGGACTAGAATACACAATAGCATATCTGGATGACATATTGATTATTAGCGAAAGCGTTGAACAACACTGGCAACATGTACAAGAAGTGTTTAAGAGAATTCAAAGCTACGGATTCAAAGTGAAAGAAAATAAGAGTGATTTTTTCATGAAGGAAATTAAATATTTTGGCCATATAATAGACCAAGAAGGTAGACGTCCAGACCCTGAAAGGTCTACAGCAATGAAAAAGATGCCAGTTCCTAAGAACATAACAGAACTACAAAGTTTTCTTGGATTAGTGAATTACTATCAGGAATTCATACCTCAAATGCATAAACTTCACGCACCATTGAACGAACTGCTAAAGAAAGAAAAAGTTTGGCAGTGGACAGATCAATGCCAGGAAACATTCGAAAAATTAATCAAGGCATTAACATCGGATTTATTTTAGGCACACTATGATACAAAACTAGATATTATTGTAGCAAGTGATGCGAGTGCCTACGGTGTCGGAGCGTGTATATTACATAAAATGCCAGATGGGATAATAAAACCTATCACACATGCTTCTCGAACCCTACTACCAGCGGAGAAAAACTATTCACAAATTGAGAAGGAAGCTCTAGCAATTATCTTCGCAGTAACAAGATTCAATAGATACGTCTATGGTAGACACTTTTCTCTGAAGATGGACCACAAACCATAATAAAAATTTTTGGTTCAAAAAAAGGTCTACCGGTGTACACGGCAACTAGGCTACTTAAATGGGGAACGATTCTTCTGAACTATAATTTCAGATTTTAATATTTACCAACGAAAAGAATCGGGAACGCGGATGGTCGAGACTTATATCAACAAAGACAGAGCCATTGGAAGATACGGTAATCGCAGCCCTTAGAAATGAAGAAGACATAAGAACAGTACTATGTTGTACAGTCAGAAACCTCCCAGTCAAATTGCAAGACATAAACAATGAAGCCAAAAATGTCGAATTTATTAATGAAACAAAAGCAAAAATAGCAGAAAAAAATGAGAAAATTTAGGGACAGCTTTTCTCTATGTGATACTTTACAACGAAAGGGTTGTAATCCCCAAAACTTTACAAAAACGGATAATAAAGGATTTCCACAGAGGATACCCAGGTAAAAATAGAATGAAGTCGATAATGCGAAGCTATGTATATTGGAAGAATATGGACCAGGATATTTCTCAAATGGTGGAAATATGCAAGGGTTGTAATTTAGCAGCTAAAGCACCGCCAATCATACATAAGCCTTGGCCTGAAAATGAACGTCCATGGTCAAGAATATACGCAGATTATGCAGGACCAATTGACAGGTTCTAATATGTAATCATAGTTGATAGCTACAGTAAATGGCCGGAGGTGTTTCGGTGCAAAAATCCTACTACGCAAAATTATCGGAAAGCGGGTGATATGGGACCTTACACATAATAACATAATGGTCTATAACATACGTCATAAAAACTGCGCCTAAAGAGGAAGCGGGAGTTCCGTCTGAAGTCGGGCGACAGGCTGAACTCTCTGCCTTCGGGTGGAGTCGCTTTCGGGGAGGTAAACCGACCCTGAACCAGTTTATACGGGTTTAAAGGGCATATTTTTGGCCGAGCCCACGGGCTCTGAGATCCTACGTTGAACGGGCCTTGTGCCAAATTATGCCCTCATGGGTGTGGTGAGTAAGTACCGTTCCGTCTGAAGTCTAGAGTTCAGTCTGGAATCTGGAGAGAAGTCCGCCAGAAGTCAGTCAGTCGAGTCAGAGGCAGTCCGAAACAGAGTCGCCTTCAGACAATTACTACTAAACATGATTGTTCGTACTAACACTTTCTACCTCTCTGTATATATTCCTGTTTGTAATATATCTGTGTAATGCCATATCCGTGGTACAAGGAACCCGACCATAACACACACACACACACACATATATATATATATATATATATATATATATCATGAATGTCAGGTTACAATAAATATTTCTATGTGAACATATGCAACACCATTACAGCAATGTAGATACAGATAGGAATTTGTATAATCCAGAAGGACGGGTAATTTTCTATTTTTTTTAAGGCGGTATTTGTCTGTATTTTAGGTATGAATTCACTTCGAAGTTTAAGTAAATTCACTTGGTGTTTATATTTAATTATAAGCATTATATCCAACAGACAGAGAAAGTTTGAGCCTGGCGTAAAGGACGAAACGCGACACAGAAGATATTGTTACGTTTTGATACACACACACACATACATACACAAACACACACACACACACACATATATATATATATATATATATATATATATTGATAATATTTGTGGTCAATGTATATATATATATATATTTCCATAATATTTGTGGTCAATATGTATATATATATATATATATATATATATATATATATAATAAAATTATATATATATATATATATCTGTCACTGTCTGTTTCTGTCTATCTCTATAGAGAAACACACACACACACACATATATATATATATATATATATATATATATGTATGTAAATTCCCAAGAGGGTAGAAACCAGATAGAAGTCAATGTCCAGGACAGAGTTAGAATATAATGTAAAAGGCTGAAACATTAATATTCCATGGTTATAATTTATTACATTAGAATCGTAATCACGATCCAATTGATCAGATCTACAAATAAAAAAAGGCTTTTTTTTTAATTTGTAGGTCTAATGAATTGGGTCCTGATTACGATTCCAATTTTAATAAGTTATAACTATGAAATATTAGTTTTTGAGCCATTTATATTTATATATATATATATATATATATATATATATATATATATTATAAATTAATTGATTTAAAATGTTTTTTCGCTACACAGTTCCAACCATGTTTCAAAAATTGAAGCTAAAAACCCCGAATTTAATTTTGCAATTAAATTAAAAGCATTAGTTCCATTTCATCTTCAAGCGAATTTTGGACGTAACTTTTTTAAAATTACCGGGTTTTAAAGACACAGCTAAAATCACGTTCCATGGTTTTTTTTTATTCTACTTAAATTGAACAAGGGATGTCTAGATTTTCCTTATGTCAGTATCATTGTATCAGTTATTAGCTACAATTTGGAAGGGGGTAGGGATGTATTTTACAATGAAACCTAACATCAGTTGAATGGATGTCGTCTGAATGTTTTTTTTTTTAAATTGTTAACGGTAAAAAAAGTTCAACGTCACTTTTTAAATTTAAAGATTTTCGGGGTTTTTTTCTTTTAATTTATATATATATATATATATATATATATATATATTGTTGTGCGTTTAACAGTTGAATGTCAGTGGGCAACATTTTGACGTTCGACGGACACGTCCACATGTAAGAAGCTAGAGCGCAGAAAACTGCAAAGTGACATCCCCTACAATGTTTTTGAAATGAAAAAAAATACTTACATATATTTATTTATTCATCTTTAATTGGCCTAAAAAATAGTGAATAAAATAGACAAATTCGTAAAACAAATATTCAACAGGACTAATGTTGACCGAAACTCATGTCAGTCTTTCATAATTTTTATTTAGATAAAGTTACATTTTCTTTGAAAAATAATAACTTGAATTTGGGCGGCTGGGTCATCGTTGTTTAGCACACTACCCATCAATTGTTACACAGAAAAAACCTGTAGTTGGATTAACGAAAATTACCTATGATATATAACATAATACTCATAATAAATTACTTCTTGGCGTCATTTTTGACGACACGGGTACACTAGTATATATATATATATATATATATATATATATATATATATATATATATATATATATATATATATAAAGATAGGGAATAGCTATACATTTCAACCTAAGTCATTACATACAACTGCTATCTAACAGATTAGTTTTGCATTTCAATGTAAGCCATTTTATAGGTTTTATCTATTCATCTATCAGATAAGTTATAATTTCCAATCTAAGCCATTTCACATAATTGTCATCTATCTATCTATCTATCTATCTATCTATCTATCTTTCTGTCTAACAGAATTATTATATATTTCAATCTAAGCCATTTGCTATCAGATTAGTTTTACATTTCAAAGTAAGCCATATCATATAGTTGCCATGTATCTATCAGATAATTTATACTTTTCTCTCTAAGCTATATCATATAGTTGTCATCTATCTATCTATCTATCTATCTATCTATCTATCTATCTATCTATCTATCTATCTTCCTCAATATATATATATATATATATATATATATATATATATCCTCCTTTTTTTTTTTTCATTCTATACACCTATGTAATTTTCTTCGATTTCTAATTGTTACGACACTATTGTCATTCGTCAACGAAACTTCCTTTTGCCATTGAATCAGAGGATGTTCAAAGCAAGTCGATTTCAATCACCAGGGAAATCTATCTATCTATCTATCTATCTATCTATCTATTTATCTATCTATCTATCTCAATTTATTCTTATCTCATTGTCCTATTTATTTCCTTTGAATAATTATGTCGATTATAAAGCTTTCTTCAAGAATCTATCGTGTTTACAGTTTCGCTAAATCATATTCAATTCTCAAAACTATTTTCTTGATCTGTATTTACCATAATACTCCTAACTTACTATATTCCGGAAATGGCTGGACCCCACTCCCTGTAAACCAAACGACAGGAAACCGATGGCAAATTATTGTTATCGGTTCCGCATTTATTCCAATATTAATGTTTTTCTGAGATTCACCGCATTTTTATGACATATACGTTTTCATGACCACCGATATCATATCGTTATATATCTATAAATACATGCATATCTGTGTATGTGTGTGCGTGCGTTTGTATTAAAATAGATAATTCTTATATATACTGAAGAAATCTCACATATAAGCACGGAGAGTGCGTGTGTATGTGTATATAGCGTCTGAAAAGTTTGGATCACTCTTTCTCGCACTCTCTATCTCTGTCTGTCTGTCTGTCTGTCTCCCCCTCCTCCCCTCTCTCTCTCTCAGATGTATTGTTCAAAACTTCACGTGTTTAAATATCAAATTAAAATCCCATAAAATACGCTCGACACACATAACCACCTGTTTTTTTGTTATGAGTGGTGACTTGTTCAAAAAAATCTAAATTTAGATATCTCGTTGGCGTTTGAAATGGTTTCGGCATTTTGATTTTTGTCCAACATCGAATGGATACGGTGTCTCCGGCCAAATTATTGTTCTATTTCAACCCTTTAATGCTACACCATGATTTAATTTTATTACTCCTAGGCGCGCTTGTCGAATCGCTAAATACCTGGGGAGCACTTTAAATTTGAATTAAAAAGATAGTCATCAATTTTTTTAAATATGAAATTTCGCGCTATTTTTTTTCTTCTTCTTCTTCGAATTCTTCTTCTTCAAATTCTTCTTCTTCAATTGCCGTTCCCCCAGCACGTATATTATATCTAATACATAAAGGTTAATGGTCAGAGTTGATTCAGATGAGGAAACTATAGTATTAAATATTGCTCAATACATGTGTGAATAAAATAAAATAAATTAAAAAATAACATGTAGAGGTTTTAACTTTAAAAATCAGTAGATCAGTGGAATTCGGTATCTTCGTTCCATTTCCGGATCCAAAGAATCTTTTGAAACAAAAGTCAAAAACTTGCGTTCTTGCATACATACTAAGAAATTCCTTTTAAGCACATATGATACTGGATAAAAAAGAATATTCATTTCAATTAAACACTTACTGATAATTTTATAATGCCCTTACATGTCTTTTCCTCCCCCTTCTTCTACTTCTTGTTCATTTTCACAGCCTCCTTTTTTATGTTACAGTTACATCCACCGTCGCGACTTTGATTTTTTTTCATTTTGCTTTTTAAATAATATCGCATTAATTAGTTATTTTTTCTTAAGTAATGCGTTAAGTAGTCTTTTGATAAAAATCGAATTTGAGACCTTGGTATATATATATATATATATATATATATATATATATATATATATATATACATCCACATCCACAGACAGAATGTTTAGATGTATCACAGCTCATTGCTGAGGCTAGACATCCGGTTGCTTGGAGCTAGGATTGAAACCCGGCTGGGATGAAGGTGAATTTAAGCCTATTTAGATAAACAGAGAGAACTCGATTTATCGAAGAGTATTGCATTATATATATACATATATATATATATATATATATATATATATATATATATATATATATATATATATATATATATATATATTGTGTGTTTTTTCTGTGTGTAAAGGATAAAGCAAGGCAAATTTCAACTATAGACAGGGTGAAAAAATGAGACCTTAATGACTCTTTACAAAGACAGCAGATGAGAATGCAGAATAGTCCCCGGGTTTTAAGTCTCGTGGACATTATGACCCCAACCCAGTAACTCCGCTCGTGGTCAGTCTTGACGGGGCCATTTTTCGTACATAACATTTAGAAAGATATGAACTCCATACCCTCCCCCAGCTATGGGTTTAATAGTAAGTAGAACTTGTACATAGACCTTAGTTTCAGTTACTGGGAGCAAACGTATTATCTGGCGTAATTAACAGTCTGTACAAGGCCAGGTGAATGCCAGGATTATGCGTTTTTTAAAAATATGTTTATATTTTCTGGAAATAAAACTAAATGAAAAGTTCAGTAAAGAATCCGAACGCGAGGCGGGGGAAAATCCATTTTCATTACAATAATAAGTACAGCATTGTATGAAAATAAAATGTTTTAAATAAGCAAACGTGTTAAACTGAATTTGGCGAAAATCCCAATAACAAAAATCGTCTTGAGTATGACGATAAACTCTATCCGACTGAAAGTTCGTGAGATTTGACGATTTGAAAAGTGTGGATCAAGCCCTTAAGAGCTGTTGTTCGCAGGTCCATCCTGGCACTGGGTGGTAGCATCAGTTAGGGACCCAGCTATGGGAAATAACGAATACCAATATCAAGAGTACATTTATATAATAAAATGACAACAATAGATATTTTTAAAAAATTACACTAAATACAACACAACATATATATATATATATATATATATATATATATATATATATATATATATATATATATATATAGTTTATGCAAAACTAGGTAATTCGTATGGGTAGACCCAAGGCGGATGATATCCGGAGTTCTCAATGTAAATTCAGAGCAAATATGTTTGAATAAAAACATACCTTTGGAAGTAAAATCTGATGATCCAGAGCCATTTAAAAGAGCTGTTTTTTTTAAATAATTTATTCCATCGAACCATAAAGTTGTCTGTTTTTAAACCCCCAAAAAATATATATATATATATATATATATATATATATATATATATATATATATATATATATATAAATTATCGCATAATTGAAACCAATGCATTTTATGATCTACAAAGTATATCTCGAAAAACATATTTTTACCATAAAAGTGGGAACTTATGTATAAAATATTATGTAGAAGATAACTGTATTTGAACGTATAAAATTGCGTGCGGGATATGTGGATTTCTGTATTAAATAACCGATAGAGATTGATATGGCGCTAAACAACATAAGCATTACCAAACCAATAATGACAATAATACACCTCAGGAGGATAGAAAAAAAGAACAAAATTGAACAATGAAACTACAAAACAATATCGATGTTTAGCAATTATAAGACAATAAATAAGAAACAGTATTCAAGCGGGATAAAGTCAAATGCTTCTAGCCTTTTGACTTCAAGGCAAGAAAGATGTGGATAACAGCCAGAATCGCCCGCTTATATTATCTAAAAAGAAATGCAAGCATGTATCTTCACGATTTGTTTATACATCAGTAGAGGTGGGGATTTTAGCAGACATTTCATAGGACTGGAACCAACAGAAAGTAATATTTAAAAATAAGAAGTCAAGCAACAGATACAGTTGAATATAAACCAAAATACAATTTTGCAAACGCCGACGGTTCCTTTCTCGTGGAGGTTTAATAATAACAATGTGCACAGAACGATAGAGAGAAAACATTTATAGTAATAGTGGCTGTAGTAGTTGTGATAGTCGTAGCATTTCCGTTAATAATAATAATAATAATAATAAGAAGAAGAAGAAGAAGAAGAAGAAGAAGACGTAATCAAAGATGGAACTAATTTGAAATTCAGGATCGGCGGAATATATAATGAAACTGCATACCATATTATCTGATGATGTCCGGAACTGATAAAAAATGAATATACCCACAGACGTAAGAAGGTAGCGACATATGTGAACTGGAAGATATGCAAGTAGCACAAAACTGAAATCACTGAAATATGGTCTGAGCACCAACCAGGCACAGTTACCAAAAAGAACGATGTAACTATCCTCTGTGACATGCTAATTCAAACTGACTTGGAAATAAAAGGCAACAGACTTAATATAACCATAAAAGACAAGGAATTCAGGAATTTTATGCAGTATTATCTGAGAGAAAAACCTCCATAAATCTATGGAGAAATTGTCCAAATACAATGGTCTGGAGATCGAGATTAACAGGAAGTGGGAAATTGCACTATTAGAAAGCAGAACTCTGGACTTGATGAGAAAAGGAATGGACAATTTTACCAAGAGTGTACCAGGCATCATCAACATATATGTTGCCCAGTAGATCGCTGTAGTTGGAACATCCCGTATACTAAGAAAAGTGTTACTATTTAAATGACACTTTTTCTCGAGGGACTAAAGACCATGAATTGAACCCGGTTCTACATGACACAAAGGAGGAAACAACATACATAAATAATAATAATAATAATAATAATAATAATAATAATTAACAATATTAAAGAAATTACTGACGTTTCTTTTCTTTTCCTAAATCGCTCACGTCTGAAAATATTGTAGTAATAATAATTTATTTGTTTAAATAAATGAAATATCACTATTGGATCAAGTTAAGTAAACCGTCTTTGATAAAATTATAGGTGGTGGAACTGAGCTTTGATGATAATATTATATAATAATAATATGGGTAATTTATTAAATATTTTGTACGGGAGAAAAGTGCTTCTGTCAAATACATTAATAATGACATTCACCACAACATTAAACAAACCTTTGAAATAGTTTTTAAAACTCTCTGCATAATTTTCTGAATACAGACGTTCTCAAGTGTTACCTTTTTTTAGGAATAATCTTCTAACACCCTGAGGTAATTTAAGATACATGAATAGCATGATTCTCTGAAAATATTTCTGGTTGTTTAAGAATGGTGATAATACAACCATTATTATGTAGGGTAGTGTAACATGAGCCAAAACTTATAATGGGAAAGTCAATAGATGTTATTTATGTTTTGTAGAAATGTTAGCTATCATAAAACAGTTAAATACCCCTGACTTATAAAATAAGAGAAATGTTTTGATGGTCGCATGAGGCATAAAAATAGGTACCTGTTTAAATACTTTGATCCAGATTATATTCTATTGTAGATTATAAACCTTCCTTTTTAATTCTATTATATATATATATATATAT